TTGAATTCTAAACGTTCGATTGGATAAAAGTTTCTTTGAATTAAGAATATTTATTCTCATGATTAAGTAAGCAAAACAGTAGCAAGTCACTCTATATTACCACTTGATTATTCTAAAGAAGAAAGGCAATCTAAATAAATAAAAGATTAATTGCATAGTACATAAATAATTCTACGGAGTGAGCTCATTCAGATAATGATTGTACACGATTCCACAAATAACATGAATAATCCGAAGTAAAATTATAATCATTCAATTTATAAATATCTGTTCTTTTCGTTTCAGCTAGGACGGAAGAAATTACTTTTAGGTAAGACTATAGTGGTATTTCGAAATATTAATGCCAATTGTCCTGCAAATCAAAATGAAATCACATTCCCAACAATTCTGATCAAAACTTTGCTGGATATTATACAATCATCTGAGTAATTTCGCATTTCGTTTTTTTTTCGATAATTACTACATTATAAGTTATCTTTTGGTTATTATCTTGATGAGTCATGACTATATAATTGAGATACAATAATGGATCGAATGAACGATGTGTTAGTACATATGTATTCAAATAAATTCCGTCATGTTCGATCCCTACTTCCAGATGCATAATTTCCTAGCAATGCATGTAATGATCGGTAGACTTCTTCAAAATATACTCTCTACGAGGTAATTTGTCATCAGAGTTATATTAAATTTAGAATCTAGTTTTGTTTAATTTGATCAAAATGTGTTCGATTCATTATAATAATGAATGTTTGGTTTGTTCGATAGAAGTTGACAACAAACAGCAAGAAAAATCAGATAGTTAATAAATGATGTATTGTTTTTTTTAATGACCTTGTCCTATCACAAAAGAAACATTGAATAGAATTCTATTGTCATTTTTCTTTTCTGATGGCGAACTGCTTGACATAACAATAAAGTTGACGGAAGAAATATTTCCCCCCCCCCCCCTCCCTCCCCCATAGAACAAATGTCATAATTGCAGTGAGAATCCAGAAAAGATATTTGACTTTGAAAATGTCAAAAAACGACGTTCATTAATTCTAAGTTCAGCCTCATTATTAAGTGCTCGTCAAATGGATAGATCTAACATGAGAAAAGAGTTTTTTCGCTGCCATTACATTTTTTTAAAAGGTAAGCTTCAGTACAGAATAAATAGTTTAAGATATATTTTACCTAAAACTGTAATATATTGAAGATTAGCTTTAATATTCTTCAGTTTATTATTCTCATTTACGAATTATGTAAGTTATAGATTTTTGAAGAGATACCTATTGATAAAAAAAAAATGCAAATAAATCATTTTTTTTTCTATGGATTTATTCAAAACTAGATAGTAGAAATTTAGCACTGCAAGTATCTTTGAAAAACAAGTTTTATATTTTCTCATTGTGAGAATAAATTAATAATCATGAGATTATTAGTTTTCGTCAATTTTGATAATCCAAATCGTTCAAAATATCATAGTTTTCCTATGACACAGTTCGTACAATACATTTGTACACTTTATAAAATAATTACACAGAAAAAAAAAACCATTGAATTTCCACTATAGTCAATATACGTCAATATATTTTATCAATATAAATAAAATCAGTCAAATCTTTATTTTTATCAAGTATAAAAATAAGAAATGTTTTATCAAATATTTGAATTCATCTATTACGCGTATATTTTTTTAATGGAATTTTATTTTTTGATTAAATTTACTAACAATGATGAATCATTAAAATAATGAAAATTTATAAGCGAACAGAACAAGAGAAATTGTTTTTGAAAAGAATTGCCCTGGATCTGACTAAAGTAGTGCATAAGCTTTTTTCTTTTACTTCAATTTAATATTACTTATTCTTGATCTAAATTATCACATATTTGAATAAAAAAATAAAAGCAAATTTAGGAATTTTTGATTCAATATAACAATGATTTCGATATTTGTCAAAACAGTTGGAGTCATTCTTTCGAAGTAATAATATTTTCCTTAGAATAATAGAGACATTATCATGTAAAGAAAATGTATTTAAAGAATTCTGATAACAAATTCTTTAATTAGTTTTATATTTCTTTGCACACTATAATGTTCCTCAATTTCAATGATTGCATTAAGGATATCTTTCATCGTCAACATATCAGTTACACTTCTCATACTAAAAGTTGAAGGAACACCGAATTTTTACAGTAAATTCAAAACAACTGACATCTACTTCTTTAAAAGTTCATGTCGAACTTGCTGATGTTAGAAGTGTTGAATTGTTTGAGTTATAGACTTATAAGTACTAGACGTAGGTAAAGACATACTTGAATGTATTTGCGGCTCATTGAAAAATGCTGTCTAACTTCATGTCGCGACGATATCGAAATAAAAGGTTATTTATGAAATGGCTGTTTAAAAAACTTTCATGAAAATTTAATTTGATACTTTGAATTAAAATCACAGGAGATTGATTTTAATATACAAAGTTGAATTGATTGANTGTAAGTCCTAATGACCTTTGAATACCTTGAAAAGAGTTCGTGTCTCTTGTTTGTTTCTGCTGAAATATTTAGTTTTGATGACATCTTTCAGTACAAAACAGTGATTTTTTGAGATATTTGAGTTTTTTCTGTTCAAAGATTTCACTACAAGAAAAATTTTGTTTTCGTATTAATTGTAACCGACAATGCTCGATGTTCATGTTTTCGAATAAAAGCAATCAAGAAATTTGAAATCTTCAGCATACACTAAGTAGTTTCATTTCGACTATTCTCTACGAAGAGCCCATTTTCTAAGTGAATCTGTGTGGAACCTCGGCTTTCTATTGAACAATGTGGTAAAAGTGAAATATCTGAGTAGAAATAAGCTGAGACCACGAACTATTTTCAGAAAACTCAAATTTTATCATGGCCTATATGATGCGAGTAATCTTGGTCAGAAAACGAATTGACACCGTGGAATTCTGTCTATATGTCCGTCTCTTCACGGGTAATGCATTCGTCTATTTTTTGACTTTCAGATTGTCATAACTCAGTAACATAATTTGACAACGAGCTGGAATTTACACTGCCTCGAAATATATGAAAGTTCTAGTTTCAATAAAATTTTCATTTCATTTGGTCAGACTTGTGACGACTTTACAAGAATAGAAAGACGTGGTAACGTACTCATATAAAAGGACTCCTTTCAGTAGAACTACTCCAAAAAGCTTACATTCCTAAAAATTTTCTCGCTTTGAACAAGAAGAGGGTTTAATTTGTATTTTTAGCTAAGACTACAGATCTCATCATGGTGAAATTTGTTTTTTGGAAGCTTGTTCTTGGAACGAGTTACTGCTAAACCAATTCAATAACGCTCTCGCCTACATTTTTTTTAGACTCTCTAAAAAAGCAGATTTCACAGCTTGGCCAACAAAAAGAAGTTCACCTGAAAAGGAAAAAAGACAATAAGACCTTTTTTCAAGATTGCTGTACAGAAAAATTCTTTATTTTGGCTGACGGGTTACCATTTATTCTCGCCACCATTCCAAATAAATCACATCTATCGATGTAGAATATATTTAAAAAAAAGAAAGAATTTCGAACTGACCGATTTCTTGTTTTGAGAATATGATAAGATTTGTGAAAAGAATAAAACAAATATTTTATTGAAAATAGTTTTTAACCAATTATGTTTGAATAAATGTTCAACTTTATTTCAAATAAAACATAATTTTATCTCCTAAACTCTTCTTTAAAAGTCACAAAAATCGTATTCAATATACTAGATGTGGCTAGGAGTTCTGCGATAGTTTTTGTTTTGCATACAACTCTGTTCAGAAATCTAATAAAACGTTGATTATTTAGGATCACAAGACCAAGTCTTTCTAATTATTTTCGAAATTTTATCTGACTACTAACACTAAACAAGCGTATTATTGTGTTATTTCTCACAAGGACAAATACGAGAAAACCAAAAATTGTTGAATTTTGGTTTTTTATTATTATTGTTATAGTGTTTGGAACCAACCAGAAATCTGATGTAGTCTCTATAACATGAGAATTATTACTCATCTTCATCTCAAATACATCGTCTAAAAATAGAAATAATGCAATGAGAACATTGGCTTCAACTATATATGATAAAAAGAAATGACTACTGATCACGTAGGAAATGTTTGAGGAGTGACGAACGTTTTGGTTTCTTTGTTATAGTGCCTATGACAGTTCATTTAATCTGACATTGATTTTTATTAAATATAACCTTAATTGTCAATCACAAAATGAACTCGTTCGATTTTTTCTTGTGAAATGACACATGCATTAAATGTTGATGATGTAATAAAATTTTGAAAATAGCTATAAATATTTGATTTTATAAATTCAAACGTGCATCGTTTGAAGAAAAAAAAACAACGATCAACGTTTTATCATGTTCCTGAACAGAATAACATGCAAAAGTTTTCTCACACGCAATATATTATAGTTCAAGTTTATCTTATCTTGTACAATTGAAAATACTGATAAGTCTCATTGAAAATAATAATCTTAAAATAGATATCAAAATCTTTTTCTTTTTTTTAATATTGCTAATAATAAAATCCATTTTTTCAATCTAAAAGCTCAATAATATAAAACGCACAATACAATTCTCTCATAATTATTCTTTTTTGTATTATATTATTTTTTTCATTATTAACTATTTAAATCAAAATTAATCTTGAGATGTATTGATAAAGAATATGTTGAAAATTATAAGACTTCGCCATCAAATCAAATTCTCTTCAATATAAAATCATACACTACACTTCAATATCTATATAAATATTATATTTAAAGCACATTGAAAAATTCGTGCTTATTACAATAATCAAAAACAAAAGACTGTACAAGAAAAAAAAAAAAAAAAGAAAAGAAAAGAAGAGATATTTAATTCATTGTATACATATAACAACTAATTCTAAAAAGAAAAATAATGATAGATAATATATATATCTTTAGAATCTTAATTGACTAGATTCAATTCGAGATATAGAATAAATTTTCTTTTAACAAGGAGTCATCACAAGACAATTTCCACATAATTTTGTTTGTCCAATACAATCATCATGACAATATGCACCACATTTTTTACAAGCAATTAATGGTTTACATTCACATGTACATTTATAATTCATTGTTCGATTATTTGCTAATGATAATGATAGAGATTCAAATAATTGTTGTTTTCGTGTCGAATCATTACCATTTGATAATTGAGATATTGTACGTATTGGAATTTGTTGTTGTTGTTGTTGTTGTTGTTGAATAAATGTTGTTGTTGATGTTGTTGTTGGAACACGAACAGTTGTAGATATTGCTTGCTGATGTTGTTGAACTAGATTTCCTATTGATGTTGTTGTAGATTCCGAAACTGCTGCTGTTGTTGTTGTTAAAGATGGAGAATCACGACGAATAATTTGTTGTAAAAATACTTGTTGTTGTGGTGTTAATGTTGCTGTTGTACTTGTTGGAATTAATTTAGCTGATTGTTGTTGAGGTACATTGACAACAAATGCATTTAAACGTGCTTGTAATGTTTGTTGTTGAGTATTTGATATTGATGAAGAATCTGTACGAGCAACAAGTAATGTCGGACGTGACAATGATGAATCATAATTACCTTGAAGAAGAAAAAATTTTATTGAAATAAAACTGAGAAGATATACGGCGAAATCATAGGAAAAAGAAATTACTGAGATCGAGACTATGAGACAAAAAAATTGTGCCAGCTGAAACTAAAGATAATAGTTAAATATTCTTTAATTTTTAAGTTTTTCTTATAAATCATCAAGCAAAACATAATTAAAAAGTAATAACTAAAAAACTTCTAGTTGTCGATTTAGTAAATCAGAAGACGAATATTGAAAAAACTTTTACGATGTGATGCGAATAAAATTTTGAAAGTTTTCTCTACACTCGGATCAAAAGAACTTGGTCCTACATACTCAGAGTTCTAACTACTAAAGAGAATGTATTATAATGATATATTAGAACAATATCAACGTCTTAAATTGAACAGACACATGAAAGTTATTTCATTTCTCTTAATAATTTGTTTTAAAACATTGTAAAATACTTAGATAGAAACTCTATTTTAACTATTAAACGTGTTTTTCTTTTAGCTGAAAAATGAAAGACTGTTTTAACCAGCAAATAGTTAATGATGTTCTTATTCCCTATTGAATATTTACCACAAAATGTATCGAAAGTATTTTCTAATAAATTATCGTCTCTTTCTCTCACTCGAAAAAACAAACAAGCGAAAAAGAGATTTAAATAATCCAAAGTTATTTATGTACTTGCGAGAAAAGTTTTTCGCATAGAAAAGTTAATAGATTTTTTGTTTTGGAAAATATTTACACACTGATTTAATCTAGTTACATCGATTGCATACATTCATTAACTGACGGAAAATTGCTTCTCTTTGTTTTCCGGTTTCATACAAAAATATGTTCTATTCTCGAGTTTTTCTACATATATCTAGATAGATTATTTTATACTACATTTCAACATTTGTGAATCTTCGATTAGAAACTTTCTTTATGTTTCTAGTACAATGCCTGATGTTGAAATAATATGATCTTCGAATTAATTCAGTCTCATATTTCAATCTGCTTCAATATTCAAGATCTCTTCTCTAAAATCGATCTTAGGCTAGATGAGTTCAAATTGCATGAAATTTTTCACTCCTAAAGCATGACGTTCGAGGGAAATATTCAACAAATAAACCTCAAAAATGTCTCACTTGACAACCCAAAATTCTCTGTAAACTCTCATTCTATATAGTCAATTTCTTATTATTTGAAAGTGCATGTTAGATTGAATTGGCCTTTCTTGTTTTTAAATTCTTACTTTATATACGAAGAAAAAGCCTGACAAGTATAATATCTCGAAAAATGGCAATCTATTCATAGAAATGCTTGTTTATATGACAATAAAAAGTCTAATTAATAAAAATTGACACAATAGCTTTACATACTGTTTCAAATAAAAGTAGTTAACTATCACGAAGCTCATTCGAGTATTCTTTATATAACAACTGTAGAATATATATATATATATCTTACTAATGTCCATTGCTTGTTGTTGTTGTTGTTGAAGATTAATTTTTGCAACTTGATTTCGTGCTACAGCTTTTAAAGCAAGTGCTTGTGCATTTTTAGTTGTTTGTGAAATATTTGTTGTTATCCAATTTGATGATGTATCATTATTATTATTATTATTATTATTATTCTTTTTTAATGTTGCGGGTGCAATAGGTGAATATGATGTTGTTGATGGTTGATGTTTAATAGGTGATGCAAGAACAATATGCATTGGTTCAACAAATTCCCCATTTGCTTTAATTAATATTTGTTGTAATGATTCACCATCAAAAACATCTTTTTTTGTTGTTTTTTTAATTGTTTTACTTTTAATAATAGTACCAGGTTCTTTTTTTATTTTTGGTGATGTATTATTGGATTTTGTACCTTTCTTTTTTGGTGTATGAACAGGTGATGTTGTTATTGTTGGTGTTGAAATTGTTGAAAGCATCATTGTATTAATACTTGGTAATGATGCTGTAGGATCTGATGATAGGAATGCAAGAAAATCATCGGATGTCGATTGATATCTGAGTGGAGATACTAGAGAAAAAAATTTTTTTTTAGACAAAAAAAGAAAAATCTTAACGATTGATTTATACATAGAATTCAACTCTATATGAATAAATAATTAATAGAAGAACTTTTATTTTTTCTTTAATCTCCTTTGTATATAAACGGCTGTTTGGTTAGCTAATCATTTAAAAACATTCATTTAATGGTTAATTAACCATTTAATGAAAGTAAAAATTTATATCCGTTGATATAATAAAGCCTTTGTTTTAATTGCAAAAAAAAGAACGAATAGTCTACTGTAGTTTTTAGCTTGACTTTTCTTTTTTCTTCTTCTAATAAATTTTTCATATTGAAGGGATAAAACATTAGTTTCCTCTTCGATGAATTTGAATAAGAACAACTTACTTGTTTCATTGGAATTTATTGATTGATTTTGTGAATCACTTTGTGGTTCTTGTTTAATATTAGATGTTATATTTTCTACGATCATTGCTGTTGCTTGTTCTGATTGATGTGCTTGACCAACAGATTTTAATTCTTGTAAAATACTATCAAAATCAACAATAATTTGAGTATTTAATATTGTTTGTTGTTTTTCTTGTTGATTAGATTGTGAATTCGAATGATTTGCTGTCGAATCATTGATATTATCAAGCATTGATGCAGTAAATTGATCAAGTGTTTCAGGAAAATCGTCAAATAAAAATTGTGTTACTGAATTATTATTATGATTAAGATTCTATATAAAGAGAGAGAGAGAGAGAAAAGAAAAGTAATAATGGTGAAATCAATATGTTGTCGTTTTCTTCTTTTTTTTTTTCTTCTTCTTCAATATGTTTGAAAGAATATAGTGCAGCAAACATACATATATATATGATCGATCATCAATTTTCTTTTTTTTCTTCGTTATATTTTGTGAGTTCATTCGAATCACATTCAGTTCTATTCTCTCGTTTTTTTCCTTTTCTTCTTTCTTTTCTCATCCCCATCCTCCCTTTTCTTTTCCCGCTTCGTTCTCAATGTCAGAAGCGCGCATACCATAGTCAGTCAGTTGGACGTCGGCGTCGTCGCGTTGTTGTTGTAACGATTAAACACAGTTTAACATTTCTCTTCAATATATATATATATATATATGCGTGTACTCTTAGCTGCTAGATCGTCGGTGTCGACAAAATATGCAGTGAGGACACAAGCATGCGAGACATACACGACTCATGATTAAGTTCAGTGTTCACTTATTCTCCTTTTTTTCTCTTTTTTTTTTCTGATTAGCAGTAAGACTTTGAGAAAGAAAGAATAATATATGACATCAATATGAAAAAAAAAAGAAATGAGTGTTGGTGATGAAAATGAATATGTTATTTGAACAAGTCGAGATAGTCATAATAAGAAAATACCAATGTTGTCTATGATGTGTCGTGAAATTGAAGACAAAAGAAATGTTGTATATTATTGAGATATATTTTCCTTTCTTTTTTTGTTTCTTTTTCTCACCAACTAGAGCCAATGTTGACTATCGGTACATCATGCAGAACTTACTCTTTCTCTTTTTTTTTTTATTCCTCTCTTCAAATAAAACGCACATTTGAGTGATTTCCTTGATTTTCCTAGTCTCGAGTCTCAAAACATATACACAATGATAATCATCCTCATGATCAAAGTGTTCTGATTTGTTGCTTTTGCGTGCGTTAACTATAGAACTACTATTACTATTACTATCGATGATGGTAGTGGAACGATAGGAACAAGTAAGAAAGAAAGAACAAACGAACATAACCGATCAGAATTCAGCGGTGTTGACGGCAAGTAAAAAGAGAAAAAAACGACGAATAACGAGAGTGTGTGTGTGTGTGTGAGTGAGTAATCGTCAAAATGAAACAAATTTTGCTTGATGGTTTGTCGACAGGGTGAAAAGAAAGACAGAAGAACAAAAGAGAAAGTATTATAACTGCGTCGTGCATATGAGACAAAAACACAAAAAAAACGGGTCTATATGTAAACTTGACGATTAAAAAGAAGAAAAGACCTTACACCATAACAAACACATATGAGAATGAGAAAGCAAAAAGAAAAAAAGAAAATATTCCGATAAGATGAATGAGACATACCAAAAGAGAATCATTCGATGGTTGATTTGTGAATAAAGATGAAGGTAAGATTGTATTTGATGTTGAATATTCTGTTTGTTGAACTTTAGTTGCAACTCTTGAATTATTTATAGAAGATGATCGTCTATCAATAAACGTAATCAATTACATAATCGTTCATTTTGTATTTAAATAAAAAAAAAAGAAATAAAGAAAAAACCTACGACGATCAAAAGATAAGTTTAATAATAGAGGGAGATTCATGTTTACTACGCCTTCCAACACGTGAATTATTCAAGAATCATTGCGTTCATATTTTATTTACTTTAATATTTAATAATATTCTTGAAATAAGATGAAAAGTTATTTTAATTTGTTCGTTCGAATGAACGGTAGTCGACTTTTTTATGTCATATTATGTATAAAGGATCAATAGGGTAAGATTTCATCAGTAGATCAAATGAATGATAAACCTAACACTAAGATTAAAATTTTTTTGTTTTTTTATTTGAATTTAGTTGTTATAAAAACTATTTTTTAATACAGATTTATCAAAATTTTCGTTCGAAGATTAGCCGTATTTTTTAAATAACTATTAGAGAACTAAGTCTCAATAATTAAATATATAGTTGAATAGTTTACTGTTTTTTGCTTTCGAATCTGATATAATGTTTACAGAATGTTAATTATTACATTTATAGTAATGTTCTATTGTTCTCTTAAATAAACAAAAATACAATTAAAAAAACTAAATAAATTTCTACTTAATGATTGATTTCGATTTCTTGTAGGAATGTTTATACATTTGATAAATCATATCATTATATTTTGAATGCCTTTTTAAATATTATTTTTTTCAGATATTATCAAAGATTAAGACAGATTTATTAAAATAAAACATTTAAGTTCAATTCTTTATCTTGTTTAGGTGGAAAGAATATTTCTAGTTTAATATAAATTACTTGTAAATAATCTAGTGAAACGAGACATACTGACAATAGGATTAAAAAAAAAATCTCAGAAAGATTATCCCATTCTTAAATCTTTCATAGAATAGAAAGATTTATACACATGAGGAAATTATCCGATTTGTAATTTGTCGTTTGCACCCACAATAAAATCTTGATAAGTGTAGAAACAGCTTAAAAGCGTACGTGCTCATGACCCTCTGAAATTGAATTATGAGCGTTTCGCTAAATTTCCGATCTGCAATTTTGTCTATAGGCACGTCTAATGATCCTAGAAGTTTCAACGAAAGAAAAACGTTTCTTTGTCAAGATATTGAACCTCACACGGTGCTGGCAAGGCACGATTTGTTGAGCATTCAATATCTGGACAAAGGAACATTCTTTTTCCCTAAAAGTTTCAGAATAGACGATCTTATAGTTTGGATAAATTTCTTTGTTATTGTATAATTACGGAGATCAAACTTTAAAAAAAAAGGAATTAGAAATACCAATAAGAAAAATCTTTTCTATAAGTTTTTTTTTTTTTGTGTGAAAAAATTATTCATGTAAAAGTTTAATTTTTCTCAAAAATGTCTTTATGAAATCTTTATATAATAACATACTAAATAGAGATAAAAAGAAATCGTACATAGTTTGATAGATAGTTTCATTTTGTGTAATAGGTTCTGTTTTAATTGTATTAACTATTGGACTGGACGGTTGATTATCTAAAATGAATAATTAAACATAATTTTGTATTTTATTTTTTGATCTTTTTATTCTGTTAAACATACTTGCTGTAACTGTTATGGAATTTGAAGCTGCTGATGCTGAAGCTATATCAATAGAATAAAAATGAAATTCGAATTTGAATTTTGTCAAACCTTTTCGTTTTAATGCAAGTTGTTCTCGAATTTGTGCTAATGTACGTGTTTGTTGAATAGTCTGTATTGGTTTAATAGGAATTTCAATTGTATTATTATGTTCATTTTCATTTGTTTGCATTTCATATGATGGTGAAACAATTTTTTTACTAGATTTATCTTGATTATAATTATTCATATTCTCAAATAATGATGGACTTATTTGTGAATCAATAGAATTTGTTGTTTGAGAAATATTTGAATTATTTGTATCTTCTCAATTACGTTTAATTACTTTCATTTTAATTGATATTTAAAAAGAAAAAAAGAAAATTTACTAATTAAAATACAAAACTCATTTAATTTGTTTATATTCTTCTTCGTCTTCCTCTTTTTTTTTTTCTCCAGACAATACAAATAAATAATATCGTGGTTATTCGTCAATGAACCAATCATATGAGAGAAAGAATTACAGTTAAAACATTTATGCATTTGGCTAGGGATGCTTGTAACTGGAATGGAACATGTCGATGAAGAATGTTATTTTCTTTTCTTCATTTGAGTACGAAAAAAAAAGAAAATATTTCAAAATTCATCTTCATTTGAGAAATCAATTTTGATTATTTGAGTTATAGTCTTAGAAAGTTCGTGTTTATTTGAAAATGTGTTGTTTCGTTTATTTGAAAAAAAATGTTTATATTTTACATGTAAGATCAGTAGGTTTGTGAGTGGAAAAACTATTTTTTTGGCAAGCCGTTTTCTGATAATTGATTCACAATTTTGACTCTCGAGGCTAAATCATTTCACATCGAAATCTATGTTGATAAAGTCTAGTAGATAGTGAGTGTCTTTTATAATAGTCACAGAACATTCGTTTACAACGTTAACCAATAAAATTTCAGGTTTTTATGTAACTGATTTCGTCATTACACAAAAAACAAGCGTTAGAAGGAAAGACACCCAAATGATTAACCGCTTCTGAATCACGAATACGTATATTATGCAGACCTAAATGAGTTACAAATACCTTGAAAAGAGTCCTGACCTTTAATTTACTGTTGCCAAGATGTTGCATTTTTACGATAGTTTTTAAATGAATGACATGGGAACAGAAAAACAGATTTTCGAAATTCTATCTGAATTTTCGGACAGGGATAGTGCTTAATAAGAATAGTTTATTGTACATATCTGAGAGCTTATCGTTGTTCTTAATCAAAGATACAGCTATGATAAAAGCGTATCTTTTACGTCACTTATCATAGAGTGAAAGATTCACAATATGAGAAAATCAAAAGAGTTGAAACTTTGGCAATAAACTACACTCGTTAAGACTTATCTCTTTACGAATTTTCTAATTGAAAACCACTTTTCTTAGACCACAAGATCTATGACAAAAAAAAGTATCTTACAAATTCATTATCACTAGAGCTATAAGTAAAAGATCTAAAATGTCTGGTAGCATATACGTAGTTTTTATTCAAAAGGCAATTAATCAATTGGAAAACTTGATTTTTTAGATTAATTCTAAGTTTAAAATATTATCATTAAATTATTTTCTAGATTTCTATCCTTGAACTAAAAAATTTTTCATGGCTACAAAAGGTGGTCGAAATCGTAATGGTGGTGGTGGTGGCGGCGGCGGCGGTGCTGGTGGTGCCGGTGGTGGTGGTGGTGGTGGAGGTGGTGGTGGCGGTGGTTATTCTGATGATGAAGATGATTTTCATAATAAATCTCAACAACGTCAACGTTCATCATCACGTCATCATCATCATCATCATCGTAGTGATCGTCGTCATGTTCAACAACAAAATCCACTACCTCAACAACAACCATATGATCCAAATAAACGTCGAAAATTTGGTGGTCTTGATGATGATGAATTAACTGAAGATAAATTACAAATAACTTTACTTTCGTTAGGACAAAAAATTGATTCAACACTTGAACAAACCTTACGTGATTTATGTACAACATTATGTAATGATTTAACAAAGCATAAAAAAGCTATATTTGGTATACTTAATCAATGTATACAATTATTACCTGAACGTATAACAATATATTCAACATTAATTGGTTTATTACATGCATCAATAATAACATTTGGTTCAGAATTTATTGATACATGTATTAGTTCATTAAAAGAATATTTATTAGGATATAAATTTGAATCTATACAACGTTATGTACGTTTTTTATCAGATTTAATTAATGTTAAACTTATATCATCATCATCAATATTAAAATTATATGAAACATTAATACAAACAACAACAGAAACAAATATACCACAAGTTCGAACAGATTTTTTTGTATCATGTATATTAATATCATTACCATATTCGGGTAAAATACTTTCGGAAAAACATAATACAGAATTAAATCGTTTATTATATACAATTGATAAATATGTATATAAACGTTCAAAAATTCATGTACCTATTTTACAAGTTTGGACATCAATTGAACCACATCCACAAGAAGAATATTTAGATTGTTTATGGGCACAAATAAAACGTTTAAATCAAGATGAATGGTCTGAATCACAAATATTTCGACCATATTATACATATGCTGATACATTATTTAGTGATATATCAGCATCAATTGTTCATGATTTACCATCAATTACAATTCCAGCTCATAATGATACAATTATTTATCCATTACCAAAAATTGTTTTTCGTATGTTTGATTATACTGATGTACCTGAACAATATGTTTTACCAGGTGCACATGCTATTGAAAGATATTTAATTGAAGATGAAATATCAAATATAATGCATACATATCATACAGAAAGAAAAGATTGTGCAATACAATTAACACAAATTAGACCAAAAAATAAAATTCCATTGAATTATATGATTGTTGAGGTATGAACAAAAAACAAAAAAAAAACAGGATTAAATTAAAATATTAAATATAAGATTTTAGTTTTTATTCGTAGGTTTATAATATGAAATGAAAATTATTTTAGAAAGAGAATCATAGGAAATGTTAGTTCGAATTTGATTATTGATTGTAATGTAGATGTGTAAGTGACTAGCATTGAATTTAAATGTAAAAAGTGATTTAAATAGTTCTCTATCAAAATTTCATAGATGAACTATGAGAAGTAACTGTCAAATCTCAGAAGATTGTATGTAAAGGTTTTTTTTGAAAAGTACTATTGTAAAGAGCGTAAAATCCTTAATAAAATGAGAAGTGGCCAAGTTTCCTACGATGTTTCCTTACAAAGTTATGAACAATTACGATCTGCAGTATTACTATGGTAACTTTCATTGTTTTTTTTTTTAAGTTTATAACTTTTAAAGAGAAGATCGTAGGAAATGCAACAGCCTCTTATTTTATTCAAGATCTTGTACTCTGTAAAATAGTACTTTTAAAGAAAATTAATATACATAGTCTTGTGAGATCTTCAAGCTATTTCTTATGATTCATCTATGAAATTTTGATAGAGAACTATTCCAATCATTATTCAGACTTCAGTTACATGCTTGTCATTCTATAAAAAAAAAAATCCAAAGTACGTTTGCTTTATATTTTTAATCAGTATTCTATATGATTGAAATATAAATTGAGAAAATCGATTTTTATTCATAAACAGGTTCAATAAAATATTTCATAAATCAAACAATTAAATATTTTCATTAATTTCTTTAGGTAATATTTGGTCATTTATTTAAATTACCACGTTCTCAACATCTTGAATTATTTTATGGTTCACTTTTACTTGAATTATGTAAATTACAACCATCAACATTACCACCTGTATTAGTACAAGCTGTTGATATGTTATTTGAACGTTTAAATACAATGAAAACATCATGTATTGAACGTTTTGTTAAATGGTTTTCATATCATTTATCAAATTTTGAATTTACATGGGCATGGCAAGATTGGATAAATTGTTTAGATGAAAATTCAGAATCACCTAAAATTAAATTTATACGTGAAACATTACAACGTTGTATGAGATTATCATTTCATCAACGTGTTATTGAATTTGTTCCTGAACCATTTTATAAATTGGTACCAAATAAACCATCACCTGTATTTAAATTTGAAGAAATTGATCCACCTATATTTGGTTCTGAATATGCACAATTATTAACAAAAAAAATTCGAGAACGTTCATCAGCTGAAGATATTTTACGTATATTAAATACAGTACCAAATCCATCAAAAGATGATACATTATCAACAACAACAACAACAACAACAACGACAATAGCAACAACAACAACATCAAATACGAATCAAACAACAAATGATTTAACTTATAATATGGTACAAATTGATTTATTTGTATCATCATTACTTTGGATTGGATCAAAATCTTTTACACATTCATTTGCTTCATTAGCAAAATATCATCAATTATTTAAAATTCTTATTGAAACTGAAGAACAACAAATTCAAGTACTTAAATCAATGTATGAAATTTGGCCAAATCATCAACAGGTTAGTTTATTTTATTTTTCGATTGTTGATTTTATTGCTTACGTTGAAAAATGATTGGTTAGAAGATTAAAAATGTATTTTTTTTTAAATTAAATCCTTTCTCAAATAGATGATTTTTAAAATTTTCAATTCGATATATTTTGAATATAATAAGGGAATGAAACAATGGAATCGATTATATTTTGAGTTATTTCTTCAACAAAATAAATAAATTTTATTCTTTCGAATAATTAAATTAGACTTAATGTAATGCATGATGGAAAAATAATTTGACAAGATGTTCGTTCATTTATTAGCTTTTTAAAAGGACCAACGGATAGGACCGGAATCCGAATTTAGTGCTGTTTTTGAAACAAACCTCGGTGCATGAAATATTACTCAAAACAGAAGTGAATATTATTTCAAATATACAGAATAAAAAAAAACAAACGTTTCTCTATATTTTTTCAACACATTATTATATTCTTCTAATGGACTTTCACTTGAGTCTTTTTTACCAACCTTAATTCAACGTTAAAAATTCTCAATGTTAAATTATGTATCTTTATAGGAGTTATTTCGAGATAAATGTATTTGAATTTTTTTGTATATATATTCTCGTTCTAATCAATTTTATATTTTTATTTATCTTAGATGATGGTTGTTTTGGTTGATAAATTAGTAAAAACTCAAATAGTTGAATGTTCAGCTGTAGCTAATTGGGTATTTTCCAGTGAATTAGGTTCTGAATTA